GGTTTTAGTCCCTCTGTTTCTAATGTGATGGTAGATACCCTGTCATGGAGTAAGTTCTGAAAATCATTTTTATGCTATGTTTCTTAAATGTTTCTGTTTCTGCTTAGCATTCTTCTTTGTTCTCTGAAGTAGTCTTATTCCCTTTTGGGGTTTCTCAGTCTTCCTCCTCTTTGCCCTCTGTTCTCTAAAACAACATATATTTATTAAATCGCACATGCATGGTTTAATCCACTCATGAGTTCCGGCAAGTGCGGGTGGCCACGGAGCCTCACCCCGGGAAGACGCAGACGGCTCCGTGCTCACGCCTCCTTGGCAGCGTGGCCACCGCAGCTTGCCTCTCCCCCGGAGGCCCCTCAGCTCACGTCCGTGCAGCCATTCACCCCAAAAAGCCCGACAAGAAGCAACAGAACCGGCTGCTTAATCGCTTCAGGGGTTTTATATGTGCTCCGTTTCTTGCACTAATTTCCACCGGCTACGTTTAATACATGCTCCGCACATAATAGGTGCTAAATAACTATCAATTGATTAGATCTCATTTCTCTCTTTTCTCTCTCTCTGTCACACACAGTTGCTAGAAAAGAAGTCATCTGTGTTAAGGACAGCCATTGCCAAGGATCTGACGTACATAAAATGTGTTTCATGAAATATTACATTGTACTTGAGTCTGTTTGAGAAAGATATCTTAAATTGGAAAAAGATTAGGCACCTTAAAAAGCTTTCCTTTGTGTGCTGTGGTCTATAAAATATCTATCTCAACCAATTTTGTCTTTTTACACTTGGCAAGTATTGACTTTCCTGCTTCTGCCTGTTATCGACCCTCGGTTAGCATGGCTGGAATCACACCACACGTGCTTTTCCCTCTAATCGTCCAGTTTGGCCCAGCGACTTCACCGTGTGTCCGGAGGGCCTGCCAGAAAACAGTCCTGACACAGGCTAGAAAGCAGGTCGCATTTTCAACTGCAGTGCGTTCTTTGTAAATCGCCGTCCTTAAGTGGGCCCCCAAGTCAGTGAGGTTGGGGTGTAAGATTTCTGTGGTGGTCAGAGTCAGCACTTACACTGCTCTTCTGTGCAAGGACTGAGGTTTGCTGGGTGTGGACTGGGGCCCGGAGCACTGCGCTGGGCTGTGGGGTGGAGCACGCGGCCGTCTCCAAGCCAGGACAGCCTTGGGATGCGATGCAGACGGAGGGCACTTGAGCAGCACGGGTTTAACTGATTTAGAGCAGTTTCAGGTTTACAGCAACACTGGGCAGAAGGGCAGAGTCCCCATGCCCCCTCCACACAGGCCAGCGTCTCCCGGTTCCTACACGGGGTGCATTTTTAATCAGCTGGAGCTTTCCAGTAACCCGGCAGACGGGTGGGGCTGCCCTGTGAGATGGCGAGCTCTGCCCTGGCTTGCTCTCTGCTCCGTGGGTTTCTTTGTGCCCCTGTCGAGAAGGCTCTGGGTGCCAGCCTCGGGTACCCGAGCCCAGATGCCCCATCCTACACAGCATTAAGGAGAAAGCGTGGCCCTGGGATGAAAAAAGTCAAGTCCAGGGTGGGAATGGGGGCCTGACATTTATTTTTTTATAGTTTACTTTTTGAGAACGATTTCTGAGAACAAGGAACTCCTGTCCGGCTTTTGCCCTTCAAGCCTCAGTGTCCCGATCGCGTCCTTAAGACCAAAGGGTCCAACCCACGACCTGAGACTCACGCCTCCTCAGCCGTCAGTCTGCACGAATTCCTCAGTGTTCTCCGCTTCCGTGACTTTGGTGCTTTGAAGGTGACAGTGGCCTCTTTGCGTGTGAGCCTCAGCCTGGTCTGCCCCGTTTCCTCATCAGAGTGCGTCCTGCGATTTGGGCTGGGACACACCAGGACTGGCCCTGGGTCTCCGTGCGCCGCCCCCAGTTGCGCGAGGCCGTCTGTCCCGCTGCAGGCTGAGAATAGGAGAAAATATCAATGAAATAAGAAATGGTGAAATTAACTCAATAGCAAAGAACAAACAATCTAAAAATGGGCAGAGGGACTGAAAAGACCTTATTTCAAAGACGACGTACACATGGCCAACAGACACATGAAACGGTGCTCAACGTCACTAACCATCAGGGAAATGCAAATAGAAACCACAGTGAGACACCACTTCACACCTGTCAGAATGGCTATTGTCAGACAGACAAGAGGTAAGTATTGTGAGGATGTGGAGAGAGGAGACCCCTCGTGCACTGTTGGTGGGACTGTAACGGTGCAGTTGCTGTGTAAACAATATGGAGGGTCCTCAAAAAATTAAAAATAGAGTCACCTTAGGACCCAGTAATCCCAATTCTGGGTATTTATCCAAAGGAAATGAAAACAGGATCTCAAAAAAATAATTGCACCCCCAAGTTCATTGCAGCATTATTCACAATAGCCAAGATACAGAAACAACCTAGGTGTCCACGGATGGATAAATAAATCACAGAGAGAGAGAGAGAGGGGGGGGGAGGGAGAGAGGGAGAGAGAGAGAGAGAGGGA